AAAAGCCATCAGTTAAGCATGCAGTGCATCAGAGCAGGTAGTTCTTGAAGTATTTCCCTTGTTTCTTCATTTCACATCTTGTCTTTGTGTTCCACACTGCTCGCCTGCAGAGAGCGGGGATTTAACAGGCGGAATAACTAGGATTTACTTTATAAGGTAGTCTCTCGCCACTATTCATCCAACTGGTTAGGTTCACCCTGGCCTGACATCAAAATGTGTTTTTATATTTGCTTTTTATTGGAGGCTTTTATAATAGCAATGTAGGTCCTGGCCACACTTTTTCTTATTTTAGGCAAGTGAGGCAGAGGAATAGAAAAGGGATGTGTGAGTGCGTGGTGTTTTCACACATGGTTCAGACACTGCAATGAAAAGCCCCTGCAGAAGGTTCTTTCTCACTCTTCATTAATAATTCCAGAGAGTGTTTCGATTGAAAGGTGATAATGTTTCTATGGACACCGCTGGCCTCTATTACCACACCAAAGACTAACAGGTACCGCTAAATAGAGGGGAATAGCATGTTTCAGTTGTCAGTATGAAATCCTTTCTGTTGAATGCCCATCTGAGAAAGCACTGCAAACTAAACATCCATTTTGTCAGTATATGTGGAGACATTATCCAGGCTCACAGTTATCCAAAGGCCGGCCTCACCCTGTGTGCTGAAGCTCGAGGTCCTGAAACCCTGAACAAATAGCTGTTTGTCCTTGAGGATGGCAACAAATGAGAAGGCTGGGTTGCTACACTGGGTTTAGAAAAAAAGGGGAAAGCAACCACTACCCTAACAGCTGCAGGTTTAGTATCTCAATCATCAGTCTTTTATATATATATATATATATATATATATATACCAATTATATATTAAACTGCATGTGTGAATCCAAAGCTACGATATTGTCTTACAGTTACAAACATTTAACATTTAGTTAGTTCATTGATTATTAAGTCAAAAACGAATTAGCAACTTTTTGTATCTATTATCTTTATTCTTCTGTTAATAATTTGAGTAATTTGTACAAGCAAAAAATAGGAAATATGTTCTGCTTTGTGCTTCTTAAATGTGAGTATTTCCATACACTTTGCATTCATGAGGCTCTTTCTGGAAAACAAATTGGACACTAACAAAACTATGAAATTATTAGTCAAGAAAATAAAAGATAATTATATAATAATTAAAACCTACATTTGTAATGTTTGCTTTACTGCAAATGGATTCTCCTCTGTGTTCATAATCTTTTAGCACAGCACAAATACGGATACAGCTGGAGGAATTATTTCGTCCAATGGAGACCATGTTATTGTTGAAGGATGTTTTGGATCAAAACTGATTTAGATTTTGAGAATTCAACCTTGCCTTCTCTGCTGCAAACCACATATCCCAAAACCGATTGCTGTTATTTAGAAATCAACAATATCTCAAATGTAGAGAAGAAAATCCTCTCCAACCTTATCACTGTCTCACTCTATTGAAGTCTGTGTGCAGCGCCTGTGTTTGATGTGTCTGCGTGGGAGTGTGATGAATAGATGGAAGGGCAGTTTGCATGCACTCACAATATGTAAGATTACAGCCAATGTGGCAGGAATAGCTCCAGTGATATTTGCAGTGTGTGAGTGTGTGTACAGTGTGTTTTAATCAATTGCTTGGTGTTTGATGCTTCAGGGAACATAAGATGTACGCCTCAGTGAAGTGCGACATGCGTGAAATTGTACTTCTTACAGGACTGTCTTAGGTCAGTCGTAAAGATGGGAGTTGGCCATTACGTGATTGCATTGTGAAAGCAAATGATTTAAGTTGTATTAAAAACTGACAAAATACCAAGACTAAATGACATATTACAAATTCTTAATTAATAACACTTGAAAAATGTTAGATTAAGCTTAAATGTTGTTAAATGAAATATCACTAGCCTACATGTAAAGGGCACTCTTGTGTGTACGAATTTAGTAGCACAATGAAGAGTCTTGTGTCTTTTGGATGTAATGGATGACTTACTGAACAACCTTTAAAGGTTGTTCTCAATGTCAGGGTCTTTGTGGAGGGCCCACTTTGTTTACACATGGTAGAAGTGAAAGTTAGGGGTTGGTAAATATGTCTTACTTGGACAAACAGCCTGTGTTGTTCGGCTGTGGCTGATGAAAAAAGGAGTGTTGCTTTGGCAATTAAATCTGACAGGAGAATCGGAGCTATTCCTCTGTTGTCATCATTCCTGGAGAAAAACAGGTGGAAAATGGGTCCCTTTTTCTTCATCTACAAAAGCTTCAATTAACTGTGATAGCATTTGGTTGTGCACTGGGGAGAGGGAGAGCAAATTGTGGCTCCTTTGAATTGTTTTTGCTATATACAGTACTGCGGCAGTTCAAATTAGTTCCAATAAGTTTATTTGTGTACTCTGCAAACTATTTACAGCTAACTGGTTTGCTTTGGTCTATCCTGCAGAGTTCAGTGTTGTGCATGTGAGCTGACTCCACTAAATTGTAGGTGTAAATGAAACCCCTGCGCCAGAAACACTCAAAAGTTGGTCTTTTTGGCAAATGCACTGATGCTCATATGTTCAGTAGTAAGTGCTCCCAGCTGGTAAAATCAACCGTCATAAATGCAGTTAAGTGGAGACGGTCGGTCACTCGACTAGGACACACTTTGTAAAAAAAAATGCTTTTAAAGGATGAGTGATACTTTCCATATCATGAAAAACTCACTTTTCAGTGTTTGCCCTCATGCATTTGAGTATTTTGAGGTCCTACCAACCCACAACAATCTTTTGTTTAGGTCAGAAAACATGGGATGCTGCAAGCCATTCAGATTTACCCTTTCTATGTCATATGCCGGCTCAATAGAATATACCACCATCTATCTATATGTATCAACGGCAAACGCTTGAGAACTAGCTTTAAAATTCAAGGCAGCATAAATGTTTTATGTGAGGGGGGCTTAAAGAGACAGACAGGGGTGATACAGGTATATATAGACAGACAGTACAATAACAAGTTATTTTTGGAAAGCATGTTCAAATGCTTAAGTATGAAATATATGATATATGATAAAAAATAATATATCCCACTTCAAGGCTTTTGAAGTTAGTGTTCTTTTTTATAACACTCCATAACTAAATACACAAGAGAAAAGGAATACATTAAACTATGTGTTGATCTACTTGAACATCTGCTGCAATCAAAAGCATGCGCTAATGCCTTGCTTTAATAAGTTGTATTATTGTTGGTGCTGCAAAGGCGTCAAGATCATCTTAGCAACTTCAGACATTTCCTGTAACTAAGTTCATCTTCTGTACTGTAGCTATGTTGTTGAGGTGCCTTTAAGCGAAATGCTGGTAGGAACAGAGTGGATATGCGCTGCATTATGGGAGCAATAAAGAGTTTTTCATCTTGGTTTAGACTACGGGGCCTCTGTGTAATTGTTTTTTGTTACCTTCATAAGTATAAGTGCAACACAAGCACTATGCTAGTTCTTTGTGCCTTTAATGGAGCCTTGCAGAAAGAATTTCATAACGAAAGAGAGGCTAATAAGTCATCTATCTACTATCCATCTATCATGGAAAAGTAGGGACACATCATACAGTAAGACCATGGAGTTCTTTTGGACTATATCTTTAAAGGGGACCTATCATGCTAAATGCACTTTTGTACGTCTTTTATACATGAATATGTGTCTCCGGTGTTCCAGGGAACTCACCAAGTGTCAGAAAGCACAACCCTCTCTATTTTCCTCCATACCCAAATCTCTAAAAAAGGGGCTGCAACGGATCTGATAAAAACTGATCCAGATTTGAACACTGTCCTGACGTCAGGACAGTGGCGCTACGGCTATTGGGCCAACTCCACCAATCAGGAGGAGACAGCCACGGCCATTGCCGTTCGAAAGCGCTGGAGACGCTGTAGTACATATGCCAGGCCTGTAGGTGGTGCTGTTCTCACAGAATCAGCCCTTGCAAAAACAGAGCTAAAAAATGTCAAATTGAGCAAAATGAGGCATGGCTAAAATGCATGATCTGTGCGGTATTTTGAAAAAAAAAAGTATAAATATGCCTTATATAGGTATGGTCCTACACTATATTATTCAAATATAGCATGATAGGTCCACTTTAAATAAACTAGTTCCTGCCATGATCTGGATACCTTGTTAGCAAATAAGCTGTTATCCCACTTCAAATCCCCCACTTGTTAAAACCTGTTAAACATGTTGACCTTTGAGTTTGAAAGTGATAAATGCTAATATGTATCGGCAGTGCTAGACTTTGGTACGCAGGTTTGACATGGAGCTGCAGAATCAGTGCAGCTGTCACTAATGAACTACAAATGTGCCACTAATTAGATGGAAATGAGCTGTAGCGGCTTGTGTGTACCGCCCATGTAAGCTTTAACTCGTTGGTCAATGTGGTGGAGCTTGTTGAAGTATTGAACTGCAAATAGCTGGATCTTTTTCTTTTTCTTGCACATAGTTGCAAAGATTTTTGTGTTGAAATAACACACTTTATAATTGAAGGTTATGCATGACCCGTTCTTGCTGTAAAGCACAAAGAGTGAAGACTCTGCAGATGGTACATGTTCTCTATACAGCTGTCATTATTCATTGAATTCATTCATTGAATTTGTGGTGAAAGAAAAATACACATTTGAAAGGAATAAGTTTCCACCAGGTAATGGAAGTGCTCCAGTCTACAATCTAGGGTAATTATTAATATACAGGCTGAAGACAAATATTAGTCATGCTTATAAAGCAGGAAATCATTTTTAAAATAGGTGGCTGGTAAAATTATATTTCTGCTTCAATTTCCCCTCTTTTAAATTCCCTCTAGCAGAGGCTCTCGGCAGAAAATGATTGTTCCACTGCGTCAGAAATATCAAATCATTTGTATTGAGTCTGGGAAGAAATCAAAGATTGAACTGTAAATTGATTTTATGATTCTGACACTATTACAACTGGTGCCGTATTGCCCCTAATGTTATTTGTACTTGTACATTAAGGTGTGACCGTTTATTTCTTTCTGCAGACTGCTTTGAAGTGAACCCTTTGAGGAGCATCCAAGGCGACACAGTATTCTGGTGAGTTCCCAAATTGAAATTATAACGCTCTTCACATTTACATAATATACAGTACAACCACACATAACCCATCCAGCCTGCAAACACCAGCAGAAAGTGATGGAGCAGAGGGAGAGAAAGGGAGAGTCTATTGATCCCTGTTTTTATTGCACAGGGTCAGTATTTTTGACCCACCATGCATGCATATTCTCACTACATTAAACACACAAGCAAACCCTACAGTTTTACACATTTTCTTGCCTTCTCCTCCCACATCATTCTGCATGTGGTCCTCCTCTGTTTGTCACATGCACATTTGACCACATGTTCACAGGCACAGAGAAAGAGAGGGGAGGGAGTGACACTGTTAGCTCTCCTCTCATAGGCAGGGTTGGGCTGGCGCCACGGCTGTTTGCCTCATAGCCTGCGCAATGGGAGTCGGCTCCATTATCAGAGCTGCTGCTTCGCCACCCTGCAGCAAACCCAGCATCCTCTGCTCCTGCAGATTTAATTTCTTATCTCAATAGGGAAAACAGCCCTTCTGATGAACAGCAGAAAACACCCTGGGCTGCTGTGAACACGGATTGAGAATACATAGATGGTTTGATGACCTTATGAACGGCCACAGCATTGATATTCCTCACAGGAATGTGCAGTTGGTCATAGATATGTAAGGGAATTTGCTTTCTACTGTAAATAATTATTCAGGGAGGAGTAGCTATCTGCACCATTAATCCAGTAGTGAAGCAATTATTTATGGAGCCGTCATCAACAGCACAACAAGCATCCGATGCTCAAAGTACAATGTGCTGTTGTGTGCTTCACATTTAGGTCTTTGTGTTCGCAGACAAACAAAGCAGCTCTTTAACTGCTGTACTCTCGCATGACATAAACTCGGCATGAACCGACGCCACATGTGTGCTCCTTTTGTTGAAAGTCTTGCGAGGGAACATTATCACATAGCTAGATATTCCAAATGACACGTTTTCGTAAATGCCTTTGTGCCACAAAATAGGGAAATCTAAGCTTCTTACTGCGGTGTGATACCCCTGCACTTTTGTTTTCCTTTTTTCATTATTTGTGACAACTGGAAAACGTTTTTTCTTGCTTCATTTGGTAATAAGCCCAAAGTCTGTGATGTAAGTGAAGAATATGACTTGTTGTGGCATTTTCAACCTTTTGCTAGCAGCTTAATCAATGTCATGAAAAGCAGGGTGGTAGCAGGTAACAGTGGTAGTTGTGTGTCAACTTTCTCAGGCTATTAAAATAAGTTATTATGAGCACAAAAGAGTTATGTAATTGTTTATTCCCTGGCTAAATAAATGTATTGTGTCTTACAGTAATCACCAGGTACGGCTGCTGTTACTCATAGTAGTGCTATCTTAGGAATCACATAAAGAGTAATGTATTACCTTTGAAGTTTGCTTGGCTGTTTTTTTAGGATGTAGGTTTAAGCATTATTTTCTGTTAAATACTTAAAGCTCAGATTAACTGTATTGTAATTATAATAAGTGCAATATGTTTTGGTCTAAAGCAACATTATATGTGTGTTAGCCTTTGCAAGAATAGACAAAAGTAAAAGAGAATCCAGAGACTACACAGACTTCATATCAAAGTATGTATGAGAGACGTCACCCCACGCCAGGCATGGCCGCTAAACGCTGCAGATATTGATTCTGATCGTTTTCAGATGGCTGGGGTTTACATAATGTGGCACCGTGAGAGGACATTGATTTTCCTGCTTTGAACTGGCAGTCCTGCAGGATGCTTTTCTGCACAAGGGAAGTGTCTGGCTTCAGCATTGCTCAGTGAAGCACAAATTGGCTTTACATGTATCAGCTGAAGTCATTTGGCGACTGGATAGAAACAGACAATGAACAATTACAAAACATTTGTTTTCCCCACAAACATGCGAAATACTTAAAATAGGGTGTAAACATGTTTATTTTTTAATGAGATGAGCGGATCATTATTACTGAGGATGTGTTGATTTGAATATGTGTAGGATATGAAAACAGATTCAGGTTCTGGTGGCACCACTTTCATTAGGTTTCCCTCTTACAAGCTGTTTCATGTAGAAAGACTGCAGAGAACAGAGCGCAGGGCTATACAGTTCTCTGAACTGTGTATTTGAATGTTCAAAAATAACTTGGCAATATTGCAAATAGACCTATGGAGGGTAGTGATAGTGTGTTTGAGAGAGGCAAATTATGGTTTTTTTAGAGAGAAGAATATTGCAAGGAGGAAAATATTGAGTCTTCAAAGACGCACTGGTAATCATGTTGACAGTGTTTTGATTATATTTCTTCTTGCTACGCTACAACTACAAAGATTGAAATAGCATATATATAAATACATATCATTTTTACAGAGTCAAATTAGACAGCAGTCAAAATTAATTTAGTTTATTAGGCTTACCTTATTCACAGACACTGTCTCAAACTACTTGCTGACAGCCACAGTATGAACACAGCTAACAAAGGGTTCAAATGCATTTAATGGCAATGTAACACTGCAGAAAAAATCTCCATCTAAATAAATTAATATTTAGTCATTTAATTAGTAGTGTGGATGCTTTGAGATGCTGTTAAAATGCTTATTTAACAATTGTTGTTCCCTGAAGTTTGGCAAATGCTTCATAAAGCATTACCTCGGGTTATAAAACTCAGTGTTTTCTATATAGTTTAAATCAATACCATAATGTTTAATAATAATTAACCAGCCCAAGGCAAAGTATTTTATAAATGATTGATTATAAGCAGCAATGCAGAGGAAAACATTTTGACTATAAGTGTGAAATAGAATATCACTTTAACATTTATGTAAGATTTAGCTGCCTCTGGTCTTATGCCTGTCATAAACTAAATTACATTTTTCTCATTTTATCATACAGCAGGAATAATAAACCAATTGACATGAGTACTACTACGTGAAATAATTGCAAAGCTCTTGGATACATTTCCCTTCATGAGAACACATTCAGAATGCAGAAAATATAGGCAAACCAAAGTATAGTTTTGGACTCATTTTGAAATGAGACTGTCTTCATGCAAATAGCTGTTTTGATGTCTTTTGTTGGCATCTGCTGCTTTTCTCAGGGCGCTATAATTAAACAGGAGGAGGCCGCAACCCTTCTTCATTCTGTGTCAGTTTAAGAAAAGGCTGGCAAAATGCATTGTGTCAAAGCAATAGAAGTTGAACAACAGCTAGATTTCGCACACAATAGAATTCATTTTGAGGAGTGTGGGTATTTTTTAATTTGTGTATTATTATACATTACCATAGCGGCATACTTTAGAAGCCTGAAAAAGTTGGGGAAAAAATCAGTTAGGTGAACATTTGCTCTCTAGAATTAGACTTCATTTTGTGTTTATGACAGACAAGTTTCATATACAACTGCGTGAAAATGAGTATATATAAATAAATAAATATGATATATTACTACTCCTTTGATTCCATCTGATGATAATGGCTTGAGTCCTGTTTTGTGACACCCCTAATTATAGAAAAACACGTTACAAATGAGGGTTAATGATCAATGTTAGGTTCAATTGAACGGAGTTGAGCCAAGTTGACCTTCTTTCAATTGTTTCCAGACATTTTGAAAGCAGCACTCGATCACAAGATAATCTTTCCGAATTACAGATAAAAACACCATCTTTTTTATTATTTACTCTTCACGTGTCACCACCCAGGTTTACACCCACAGCACATCCCCTGATCTGACAACATCCTCAGGATAACTCTCATAAATCATCATTAAAGGGCATGGACCTGGGCACTTTGTCAGAGTTTAGAGTCCAGTGAAGAGGCACAAAAAGGGGCAGAAAATAGATCTCTTTGATGAATAACAGATTATGATGGAGAGGTGAGCAAACTTTCCTCTCATTCTCTGCCCACATGTGCAGTGCAGCAAGACTGGCCTTCTCGCAAAGCAGCAAATTGCTGTCTGATCCCAAATGGGATGTAATCCTCCTGGAGCTTTGTTAAGATACAGTGAAGTTCAAATATTTCCTCTCAATTTAATTTAGTACAAAAAGTGAAACTGCATGGAACTCTGTTTAAAAGATCAAATAAATATGCAAATGTATCGTCACTTTTTTCTAATTATCTATACGCATTATATACAGTATTTCTATTTATACACACATTTACATTACAAAGACAACTTTCTTTAACAGTCTGGTGTGTCTGTATTACCAGAGGATCAGCAGCCTTGTTCAGCCACGCTACTGCTTTTGTAATGTTACATTTAAATATCTGATATCAAATTTCCACTTTGACTTTAGCGCTCAGCCCGACTGATGCTGCTTCAACGGCTGTTTGATGAGTTTTAGTTGGTCCTCCTTCTGAGGGCGGGGTCTCTAAAATTAGAAACTTGACTGACATCATGTTAGCTCTCATGTGAAATAACATGATGTGGCTCATTGAAATGAACTTGGGCATCTAACAAAAATGGAAGGAGCTTCAAAAACCATTCATCCAATTGACTTGACACATGACGGGTGTTGTGGTGACGACCAAACGATGTGCAGCGTCGAATGTTCAGTTGTTTTGAGGAGTTGATCTTGACAAAGCTGCGGGCAGAAACACCAGAGGCCGAACGGGCCCCGCACCAGCGTCCTGACATCTGAGAGTGTTCGGAAATGTCAGTTGAAATGATGAACATCGACCCACAGTGTACATTCCCTAAAGCAGAGCTACCATCTGTATCTCTTTATTTCACAAACATATCTGTTTGCATAACTGTATGCATTTGTTGTTTCTGTGTCCATGCTCAAGGCAAGTGCAGCCACCTGCTGAGGAAGAGTTTCTGCAGCATTTGCTACAGACTGTTTCTCCATTTGGTCGCTTAAATGGCAACTAATTAGCAAATCAATTATGGGAATCTTCATTTTCGGTACTGACCTTCACCATTTCAGGCTGGACATTATTGCGTTGTAAATTTGTCACATACTTTTAAACTAAAGTTAACATGTTATAACACAGAAAATGTGGTTATCGTACCTCATGTTATATGC